TTAGACTGAACGACCGGATAACAATAACAATCAGGTTTTTAAAACCTAGTTAGCCTTAAAATACATACTACATATTACCCTAAAATTATGCAGTTAGATATAACTAAACGCTTTTTGGAATGACATTCAAATGCTTTGTATTTTCCACTGTGTAGAAATTTAAAATGATAACCTAACACTGATTTGATTTTGGTATATATATACTCTACAAGTCAAAAGTTTGTCACACATTTTCTTTAATAGTTTTTCTTTATTTTCATGACTATTTACATTGTAGATGAATGAACACATGAATTCTGTAGTAAGCAAAAAAAGCGTGGAATAGCTCACAACATGTTTATATTTTAGATTCTTCGAAACAGCCACCCTTTTTCTTTGATTACTGGTTAACACACTCTTGCCTTTCTCTCAATGAGCTTCATGAGGTCGTCACCTGAAAGGGTTTTCCGAAAGTCTTGAAGGAGTTCCCGGAGATGCTGAGCACTTGTTGGGTCTTTTGCTTTCACTCTGCGGTCCATCTCATCTCAAACCAACTTGACTGGGTTTAGGTCAGGTCACTGTGGAGGCCAGGCCGTCAGGTGCAGCACTCCATCATCTCCTTCTTGGTCAGATAGCTCTTACACAGCCTGGAGGTGTGTTTGGGGTCATTGTCCTGTTGAAAAATATATGATGGTCCAACTAAACACAAAGCGGGTGGGATGGCATGTCGCTGCAGGATGCTGTGGTAGCCATGCTGGTACAATGCGCCTTCAGTTTTGAATAAATCCCCAACAGGTCACCAGCAAAGCACCCTCACACCATCACACCTCCTCCATACTTCACGGTGGGAACCATGCATGTAGAGATCATCCGTTCACCTTTTCTGCGTCGCACAAACAAACAGTGGGTGGGACCAAAGAGCTCAAATTTGGACTAATCTGACCAACGCACAGATTTCTGGTCTAATGTCCATTCCTTGTGTTTCTTGGCTTATATAATATAAGACATATTTAGAATTATTATTTTCTTTGCTACATAATTCCATATATCTAGCTTCATATATTTGATGTCTTCAGTAATTCAATTCAATTCAATTCAATTTTATTTATATAGCGCCAAATCACAACAAAAGTCGCCTCAAGGCGCCAGTATGTACCTACAATATAGAAAGTAGCAAAAAGAAAGAAAAAACATTAAATGAGAAGGTGTGCTCAAACTTTTGACTGGTAGTGTGCATATATATGATCCGCTTTCACTGGGATTACAGTCATGGCCTTTTTGCCAGTGTTGGCTGAGCTCCAGATAGGATTAAGAACTGGTCGTCAATTTATTTCTTGCACTCTGACCTCAGAAAAAGCTGCCCGACTCCCTGACAGAAGCCCTGCTCCACTATTATTTACCCATATCATATGATGTTGTGACAGAACTCTGTGTGTTGCTGTGTGTACTACATATTATCTGAGCATGTGAGTGTCATCATTGCAAAAGTCTTTTAAACATCAACAGTAGCAGGAAATACCAAAAACCCTGTAACAGCTACACTGGCAAATGTTTTCAGTCAAACTTTTTGGCTGTGGCAAAAGATGTGGTCTGATCTGTGACTACTGAGTACTCAGGTAATAATGTAGTAGTTAGTTACAGCATTATTACATAAGCTGATGTTGACAGATTATGAGATCAAGCCAGCTATGTCCTGCCAACGTTCACACTAGACCAGTTGTCTACACATTACTACTTCAGGTTACGGAAAAGACCACAGCTTTGGAAATCAGCACCTGTGTGCATGCCTTTTCACCTTGGTAATGCTCTGTTGATCTGTACCTATGAGCCCAAATGAAGGCCGAGCTGCTAACAAAAGCCTAAACTTTACTCATGTCCACACAGTGCTGATCATATATAGGAGATGTCTTGAAAGACCTTATATGACCATTACGTCATGCAAAATAACAGAAGCAGTGATCTCTCTACAGTAAGCACTGCCTTGTTATCGGGATATGCTGATGAGGCATAAAAAAAGCAACTTTTAAAAATGTTGATCCAAAAACAGTCCCATGGAGATGTCAATAAGTAGAAAAATACAACTTGACCTCTGTCCTTAAGGTTGCTAATCTAAAATTGCTTTTCAGAGCAGAGGCCTTACCTGACCGTGGGATAAACTCCAACTTTGTCCACACTGATGAAAGGCTCAAACACCTTTTCATTTTCCTTTCCAGATGCATCCAAAACGGATGTGCCAGAGGACTTTGACATCGACTTGGACGACCCAGAGACTGAAAAGGCAGCCGTCACCATCCAGTCCCAGTTCAGAAAGTTCCAGAAGAAGAAGAAGTGTGATGAAAAGTCCTAGTGAGCACCATGTTGCTCTGTCACTGTGTGCAGGGACGGCGGGCGGAAGTGACGGCACAGCGACGACGGTGTGACATTTGCATGTAAAACAAATTCATACCAGTTGGAACTCAAAGGGTTGCGATGGGGCTGGGGGGTGGGGGGGTGGAATGCAATAGCCTGTTAATCATATAACATGTCTGTGAATTTTCCTTACCCTATAATTATAAATGCTATTATTTAATATTCGACTACTGTATCAATAACTAAGTAATAGAGTAATAACGATATGGTTTCTGTCCTGCCATATATGTCCCGTATATCATAAAGTCTAGCTGGTGTTTGTGTTAGAATATGTTTTTGTACTTATATTTCCCCTCACCATCCCTTTCTGTACTGCTTTAGACTGTGTTTCCCTAAAAGCACCTGTATTCTTAGTGTGGGTGGACTAAAAGCTAATGTTAGAGTGAAGGCTGTTTTAAGGAAACCCTGCCTGGAGCTTTTTCATTCCGAGCATAATATTTCATCCAGAGGCATTTTTATTTCTTACCTGCATGGTACTATCAAAATGTGTCAATGTAAATTGAATAAATAAAAACTCTGTGTGGAAACTGTGCCGAAATGTGGCTGCTGAATTGTTGCAGTATGCGTAGGGACTGTCTGCGAATAGAAACTGTTCTGAATAAGCTTGGCCTAATGTATTCCCTTCTCAGCTTGATGACCTTCTCCGTGTAAAGCCAGGCTAACTGAGTGACTGATTCCCACTGAGCTGCTCTCAGCTTTAGGCATTTGCTAACCTACAACCACCCAACAGCATACACCTCATTAAATGTCATATATTTTAGGTCAAACTCCAACAGTGATATTTTGTTGTGAAGTGAAGGATTGTAAAAAATAATAATAATACAATTTTAAAATCGGCTTTTATTGAGTTTTCAGTAGTAATTTGTGTAAAAACTGCATTTGTAGGGGCACTGACATCTGATTTCTGTCTGAACTGCCCGGCTGCTGCTTCATTATTTCATTTTTTTTATAGTTCTGTGTAAATTATTCCAGTGGCCAGGATTTCAGCTGCAGAGCTGTCACAAACAAGCCTTACTCCTTTTGAAACTGATTACAGAAAGGCACAAAGCCTCGCATCATTATGCAGTACAGTATACGACTCCGGCACATTATGTGGTTAGCCCTTCCCTCATTAGTCTGTATAAATAAACAAACCAACTCTGGCAAAGACACTGTAAAAGTTCAACCCTGACGTCTGGTTTCAAAAGAATGAAGACCGAAGCACATCACACAAAACACACAACTCTAACTAGCAAGTTGTCAATCACTGATGCTTTTCTAAAAGAAGATGTAATTTTTTTCCCATGCTAGCGCCATCGCAATACGGACAGTGATGCCAGAATTTTGACTGGTTAATCAACCACTTTAGTTCAATCAGAAAAATGTGATATTCCATTTTGTTTAAACTGTTAAATGGCCATATCTAGTAGATCAAGCACGGGCGGTCAGAGGCTCAACAATTAGCAAATGTTCGTAAAATGCAACAGCTAGCACAGCAATAGTGGTACGTGCGTAAATAGTTGTATTCGACCCTGTCAAAGTTCAGCACTAAACAAGTAAGTAAAATAAATTGTACTAACAGAAAAGTAATGATGAATATAAATCTGCTAGTTTACCATTGTTTCCGTTTTAGCATACTGATGTTAGCACTTAGCTTAAATGCACTTAGCTTAAATGCACATTAGCGCCTGCCGAACCTGTATTATGGTAACAGAGTTATCAAAGTTTGTATAATGGCAGTGTGTCGTATAAGGTGAGTCATCATTAAACAGGTTTATCTGGGATCTGACTATTTCTGCTGGCCGCATTGTGCTGCTGCGACAACTTACCAGTTAAATAACAAATTCACGACTGCCCTTATGCACTAAATCTTCTTATTCTTAGGTAGAAGCTGAAGAGAATAAGCTTGTCGGGGGTTTAAACCTGCAAAGCTTATGAAGGTCAGTGGTAACCTTTGCACCCCAGGGAATTGATCCTCACTGCGGATCGGCTTTGTAAGCCTAGGGGGATTAAAGTGCTGAGACAACAGCAACTATTTTCTTATTGTTATTAACAGAACAAATACTAAAAGAAAGGGCAACCATTGTATTTTAATATTTAGCTGTCTAGAAAAGCTGTGTATATTAATTACATTTTTGTGCCTTGCTTATGTCCCATGTACCTGCTAACAAATCAATACAAAGCATGTTTGGTGACATCGCCAGGCTTACTTAAAAGCAGCAGTGTGGATGACCTTTGTGTTTTCACAAAAGGTCACTGTGTTCTGGAAGGACTCGCTGCAGCACCCTGTTTGTTTTATTTTCCACCTGATACCTATTAAAAAGCTCCCTGCCAAGTCATCCAAAGGCCCACAGAGAACAGTAGTCCTCCCAAGGGCCAGACTCTTGTTTGTGTTTGTCTCTCCTAATAGAATTAAAATATGGCATTATCATATGGAGATTGTGTTCTCGTTTGGCATTATGATAAGTCCCTCTCTTCTCCTCTGACAGTAAGAACAAGAGGATGACGACTGTGTCATCCATTGTGGGTTCTTCGTCCCCTGACATTTGCCTCGAAGGTGTGCTACTCTCACCTACAGTAGAAACAGCTCTGTGTTCTCCAAGCAGGGTTGTACAATACAATAAATGTTAGTAGTTTTAAAGTCACCAGAGTCACCCTTCTTTGTACTTTACGCACATAAAAGATTAAAAATAGTACAGCAGGGATATGTACTCACCAGCCTCTTCATTAGCATACCTGTTCACCTGCTCATTAATGCAAATATCTGATCAGCCAGTGACTTGGCAGCAAATCAGTGCATTTCGACATGGCCTGCTGGTGTTGCCAGGGTCTTCTTTTTTACTGACGTGTTGGGGAGGCAGTATGACGCACAAGGACGCTTAGAGAATAGACAAGTTGGTGAAGAAGGCTGGCGTGGGGATTGGTAGAACTGCACACTCATTGGAAATTGTGATGGAAAGGTGTACAGAGAAGAAGGAATGCCATATTTGAAAACAACAGTCATCCTCTCCACAGGAGTTTGGTTGATCATAAAAGTAAATTAAGCGGTCACCTTATCAGATGATAAGTACTTTAGGACAGAATGTTTTAGAAGATCTTTTGTTTCTACTGTCAAGAGATTTTATAATGATTTGTCAGGACAAAAGATTCATGACCTGATCCCCACACTACCTCCCAGCAGTAACAACAGTTGAACCATTTATACTCTTTAAACTGTTAATTTATTGAACTGATCTCTGTGTGTAAGCAACTGGACACCTGAATATCCTGTAGGAGATGAATAAATCTTTATCTTCTTATATTCAAGACGACCTAGAGCGAAAAGCAACTCAAATAACCACTAAATCCAACCAAGATATGGAGACGAGGATGTCTGTATATTTTGTAAACTCTCTTGTAATGGTGTAAGGGATTGCCCACCAGTGTTTACATGCTGTAGCCTACCTGACTATTGTTGCTGCCGTGTCTCTTTATAACCATGGCTGCCAATCCAGCAGGATAACACGCCATGTCACAAAGCTCAAATCCTCTCAAATTAGATTAATTACCAAGACACTAAGTTCAGTGTGAACACTATGGTAATGCATGCACTGAAATAAGGATGAAATTTTCCACGTGTACTGAGAATAGAACAGTGAAACTCACTGTGTGCCTCCTGTTCCTCCTATAGAGACAAATATCACTCCTACAGAAACCAGAATAAATCTTGGAGCATTTTTCATACCCCTTAGAGTCCGTAAAAGCAGCCTGTAAATGTAGACGCATTCAAATAAACTGGTTTCTGTGCTTTTGTCCCAACAGCCACAGACATCAATTTCACACTACAATGTTACTGATAATAATTTATCAGCCATGATCTTATGAAAACTGACATTTTCATGATTGGTTTACGCACTGCTGTGCACTTTGCATGCCAATGTATTACCTTGGAAATGGTAAATGGTAAATGGCCTGTATTTGTATAGCACTTTACTAGTCCCTAAGGACCCCAAAGCGCTTTACACATCCAGCCATCCACCCATTCACACACA